AGCTCTTTGCAACGGAAAACGGGGTGTCGTTCGTTTGTTCGTTTTTCAAAATAAAACCGAAAATAACTAAAAGTTATTTGTCGTCAAAACCAAAATGAAAAAAAAAAGGTAATGATTCGGTTTTTCAGTTTTCGATTTTGGGTTTAAATGAAAAATGGAAAAAAATGGATAACGGACTGAACCAGGACTGAACCAGGACTGAACCAGGACTGAACCAGGACTGGACCAGGACTGAACCAGGACTAAAACAGGACTGAAGGAGTGTGGGGACAGGACCCAGAGGTGCGCCCGTGTAGACTGTCGGGTGATCAGGACTGAGACTGGGACTAGACCAGGACTGAGACTGGGACCAGGACCAGGACTGAGACCAGGACTGAGACTGGACCAGACTGGACCAGACCAGGACTAGACCGACCAGGACTGAGACCGGGAACCAGACCAGGACTGAGACCAGACCAGGACTAGACCTGGACTGAGACCAGGACTAGACCGGGACTGAGACTGAGACCGGGACTGAGACCAGACTGAGACCGGGACTGAGACCAGAACTAGACTACCAGGACTGAGACCGGGACTAGACCACTGAGACCAGGACTGAGACTGGACCAGACCAGGACTGAGACCAGGACTGAGACCGGGACCAGACCGGGACTGAGACCGGGACTGAGACCAGGGACCAGACCAGGACTAGACCAGGACTGAGACCGGGACTGAGACCGGGACTGAGACCGGGACCAGACCGGGACTGAGACCGGGACTGAGACCGGGACTGAGACCAGGACAGGAAGACTGGGACTGAGACCGGGACTGAGACCGGGACCAGAACAGGACTAGACCAGGACTGAGACCTGGACCAGAAACAGGACTAGACCGGGACTGAGACCTGGACCAGAACAGGACTAGACCAGGACTGAGACCGTGGACTGAGACAGAGACCAGGACTGAGACCAGGACTGAGACCTGGACCAGACCGGACTGAGACCAGGACTGAGGACCTGGAGACCTGAGAACCTGGGACTGAACCAGGACTGAGACCTGGACCAGAACAGGACTGAGACCAGGAGTGAGACGGGACTGAGAACGAGACCAAGAACAAACCGGGACTGAGACCGGGACCAGTACCAGGACCAGACCGGGACTAGTACCAGGACCAGACCAGGACTGAGACCTGGACCAGAACAGGACTAGACCAGGAGTGAGACTGGGAGTGAGACCGGGACCAGGATTAGGACCAGACCAGGACTAAGAGCAGGACTAAAACAGAACTAAACCTCGTCTAAACCAGTTCTAAACCAGCTCCCAGTCTCAGTCCCAGTCTGAGCCCTGGTCTGGTCTTGCTCTGGTCCTGGTCTGGTCCCAATCTCAGTCCCAGTCCCAGTCTCAGTCCTGGTCCTGGTCCAGTCCTGGTTCAGTTCGGCATCGCATGGGAACCATCCGTTATCCATTTTTGATTTTTTTTCCCCCCATTTTTCATTTAAACACAAAATCGAAAACTGAAAAAACAAATCATCTGTTTTTTTCATTTTGGTTTTGGAGACAAATAACGAAGAATTGAAGAATTTTTGTTTGTTTTCTATTTTTTGGTTTTATTTTGAAAAACCAATGAACGAACGACACACGGATTCAACATAAAAACAGGGTTAAAGCGTTTGCAAAATTCACTGCGATGGAAAAACTAGGGTTGTTCCGATACCGATGTTTGTATCGACAATTTCCATGACTTTTCCAGGATTTCAATGACCGCGGGAACCCGGGACAAAACTGTGCAGCTTTCAGTACAAAATTTGGAAAAACTTCAACAACTGGGAAACAAATTTGGACTAAAGGATCTGGTCGACCAACATCAACATCGTCATTGAGCTGGACTTCGTAGTTTTCGAGATAATCGCTTTTGAAATTATGTAAAATTTTTCGGATATTTGACTCTTAATTTATTCTTTTAAATTTTCTTCAGCGTCGGCCTTTTTGTAGATTTATTTATTGCTCTTGTGCTAAAACAAAATTGCGTAGTCTTAAGTCTACTTCTTCAAACTGTGCGGTATTGGACTGGTATCGGTATCGGCCAAGTGTCGGTATCGAATCGGAAAAGGTATCGGAACAACACTAGAAAAAACATAAAATTTCTAGTAGTTAAAATGACTTGAATTCCAAATAATAACGTGTAGTTTTGACGTCTTAAGTTGGGATTAAATAACGATTTTAAAGATATTTCAAAATAAATAGATAAATATAAAAAGATAATTTTTAAAAAGATAAATTTTGAAAAAGATAAAAATAAAAATAAAAAGATAATTCAAAATGATCAGGGGATGATCAAGAAAATTGCACTTGGATAAAAAATAAATAAACTAACTTTTCTCGACATTAGAAGAAAATGACAATACAACATTCATAAAGGCGCATTATGTAACTTTTCCTGTTTGTCTCCGTGCCGGGAACATTCCACAGTAGGGCATTAAACTGTACGTCCAGATCTGCGGAGAAGAGAGCCTGAAAAGCAGTAAAAAGGCGATTTTTTTGTGGAATTTTTGAGTGATAAAAAAGTTCGTTATCAACTTTTTTAATGCCGTGCTGTGGAATATTCCAGACAAAACCTTAACATTTTCATGAAAAATTTACACAATGAACCTTTAAGTCCTGTACTAAAATATTTACGGATTCAAATTTTTGACATTTCTGACCAAAAATAACCTTATAATAAATCGGGACAAAAATAATACATTAAAAGAGTTTTGTTTTGTTTGTTTTGTTGTTGCTTTGCCTGAAATGTTCCACAAAACGGCTTTAAACTTCTCCAGTCTCCATGGAGACGAGCAGCTGAGCAACTATACCAACTCAAGTTCTTTTTGGCACCAGAAAGTGAAAGTAAACTGTAAAGTTTTGGCCAAACTGTGGAACATTTTCTGCAAAAACGAGAATAATTTCAGGAAAGAAGAGAAGCACAATGGAAAAAAAAAACAATATCTCGTTAAATTAAAATGACTTAAATTAAAAGGTAAAATTATCTACCATTGGAATATGTACGTTTTTCTTAATTCAAGCAAAGTTAGATTTAGTATTTATTTTATTTTAAGTGTAAAAAGTTATTGTTTTTCTTATTTTAAGTGCAGCAACTTGTATTTTCATATTTTAAGTACAAAAAGTCTTGTCTTCTTGAGTGAAATTTACTCAAATCGTGGTCAAACTTTGTTAATTCAAGTCATCTTAACTTTTAACTTTAACTAGATTTTGATGTTTTTTGCAGTGCACATATGGAAAATTACATAATAAAGCTTTAAATCATCCTTTAAACACTCCAAAAGTCAATATCTAGGTAAGTGAAAATGAGTTAAATTAAGAACTTTTGACTTTATTTGAGTCGATTCAACTCGACAAGTACAATTATCTACCAGTGGAATAAGTGTTTTTCTCAATTTAAGCAAAATTTGATATAGTTTTTATTTTATTTTAAGTCCAAAAAGTTGTTTTTCTTATTTTAAGTGGTGCAAGTTGTATTTTCATGTTTTTCATGTTACAAAAAGTCTTGTTCCAATGGCAGATACTAGAAATTAATTCAAATCACGACAAAACTTTGTTAATTCAAGTCATATTAACTTGCCTAAATTGTTTTTTGCAGTGCACGTATGGAAAATTACGTAATATAGCTTTAAATCATCCTTTCAATACTGCAAAAGTCAATATCTCGGTAAGTTAAAATGACTTAAATTAAGAACTTTGGACTTTATTTGAGTCGATTCAACTTGACAAGTCGAATGATCTAAAAATAGAACTAAAATTAGATTTAGTTTTTATTTTAGTTTAAGTCCAAAAAGTTGTTGCGCAGCAACTTGTATTTTCTTATTTTAAGCACAAAATCTTCTTTTATTGGCAGATAATCTTACTTCTTAAGTGAAATTTACTTAAATTCGTTCAAACTTTGTTAATTCAAGACATCTTAACTTTTAACTTACTACTAATTACTAACTAAATTTTGTTTTATTTTGCGCTGCACGTATGGAAATTACATAATGTAGCTTTAAATCTTCCTTTAAACACTCCAAAAATGAATATCTATGTAATTTAAAATGACTTAAATTAAGAACATTTGACTTTATTTGAGTCGATTCAACTTGACAAGTGAAATTATCTACAAATGGAATAAGTGTTTTTCTTAAATCAAACAAAATTACATTTAGTTTTTATTTTATTTTAAGTTAAAATAAGAAAAACAACAACTTTTTGAAGTGCAGCAAGATGAACTTTTATATTTTAAGCACAAAAAGTTTTGCTCTACTGACAGATAATTTTACTTCTTGACTGAAATTTACTCAAATCATGACAAAACTTTCTTAACTCAAGTCATCTTAACTTGGCTAGATTTCGTTTTTTTGCAGTGTACGCGTGGAAAATTACGTAATGTAGCTTTAAATCATCCTTTCGACTTGTCAAAAATACTTCACACAATTATTATTCTGAATTCAAGTCAGTTTAAAGTGGCTGTACCTGATTTTTTAACATGTTTGTCCTAATAAAGATGAATTAACGTCAAAATAAAAATGTCGAGGATTAAGTTTTTGGTGTTGTATCTGAGAATTAAGTGCTCTGTTTGCATGCTAGTTGTTGTAAGCATGATTATGACGGCAAAACTCCGCTCTGGTCTCTGAAAAGTGCTCATAAACTCATCGCTTTTGACCACTGCAAATTTGTTTTTTAATGAACTAGAACTGCTTTTTTAAGACGGTAAAAATCAGGTACAGCTCCGTTAAAGGCGCATTGCGTAACTTTTCTGGTGAGTTTCCGTGGAGATCTGAACTCTTTGCCCGAAAAGTCCCACGGTAGCGTTAAAAACATCGATCTTGTTGGTGTTTTTATTGCTTAAACGACGACGAGCAGGGTCGCTTTTTTTTTTGAGATAAAATCCGTTTAATCCAACACCGTGGAGCGTTCCGGACGAAGCCAGAAGATCTCCGCGGAAACGTTGAGGTACCCGGAAAACCCGCACCGGAAAAGTCACGCCGGGTTTACATTTCGCAGTGTGATCAGACGCACGTGTTCACATTTTCCCAAGTCTTTCAAATCGAGCAGGAATTCGCCCGTCTCCTCGGTTTAGAATCCCCGAAATCCCGATCGTCGGCTGCGCAGTGGCTAAAGGAGCACATGGTCTGGGAAAGTCGGCGCATGCCCAGTCGGAAAACGCTGTTGGACAAACTGTAGATGACGCAGTTACAAAAGCTGTTGCTGATGGCCAACCACGTCGTGATGAAGGACAACGCCGGGCTGTCCAGGACGTGCGAGCTCTCCAGGAGAAAGTAAATGATGTACGGCAACCAAAGCATGTAGAAGACGCTGGTGATCCGGAAAAGAACCATGGCGTAGCGTCTGTCCGGACCGTGCCCGCCGCCTCCTCCGCCGCTGCTCCCGCCGCTCCCGTGATGCCCGCCGCCGCCTCCTCCGCCTCCGCCTTCCGCCTCCATCTCCTGACTGGGAAACCTCGCCCTCCGCTCGCTGATCTCGCGGTTGTGCTGCTGGCAAATCCGGAAAATGTGGTAGTACGTGAAGCAGACGACGAGGGCGGCCGGCGCGTACAGGAGGCACACCACGAAGCCGGTGAAGAGCGCCGACGTGGGCCAGGAATGCGCGCACCACTCGAAGATGTCCCCGTGGTACCCCGGCTTGCCCCACCCGAAGAACGACGGCAGGAACACGAGCCCGGAGTACACCCAGATCACGGCGATGCACCCGCGCAGCCTGCACGGCGTCACCAGCTGGTTGTACGACAGCGGCTTGGTGATGGCGAGGTACCGGTCCACGCTGATGCACGCCAGGCACGCCATGGACACGCTTTTGAGAACGGAGATGACGTAGCTGAACACCTGGCACGTGATGGGCTCCTGGACGCTCGCCGGGTAGTGGAGCAGGGATAACGTCGGGACCAAACAGCTCAGCCCGACGAGCAAATCCGCGTACGCCATCGTCTGGATGAAGTAGCTCGTGGTGTAGTGGTGCAGCAGCGGCGCGCAGTGGAAAACGAAAATCACGGTCACGTTCCCGGCGATGATCAGAACGGTCAGCAGGACGATGACCGCCGTTTCCAGGATGCACGCCTCCAGGCCTTCGTTTAAGCCCCAGCCTAAGGGACAGGAGTGGTTGGACCTTCCCGGAAGCGGATCTCCTTGGCTGGCGTTGGCGAAGGGCGGCAGGTTCGCGAACATCGCCGCCGACTGGTTCATCGTTTTGCTCCCGGGTAAAGTTTCCATGTTTCGCGGCGAGCGTAAAGGCGGTCCGCTCGGAGTTGTCGGCAGACGAGTGCGAAGCGGAGTAAGTGGTGTGGCTTTCCGTCTTTATTCCCGCGTCAGTTCACAAATGCGCTCGTCTTTAGACTTCTCACATTGCCGGTTTTCAATCAAACGGACGTGCGCCGGAATCAATACGGCCTCCGGGAGGATAGGGCGACCCCGGCGCAGCTCCAATCACTCATGGTTAGAGAGCGGAGAGAAGAGAAGAGGAGAGGAAAGCGACAAATAAAAACGTTTCTCTCTCTTTCTTTCTTTCAAGGATGATAAAGAACCGTAGCCGTCACTTAAAGAACACCCCGACAGTCATTACAAACTAGAAATCAAACTTACGAACCGGCGTAGGAGTCCCGTTTCAAAACAAAAACGCATCTCACGCCACTGAGTTCACCTTCACGATTGAAATGTCACAGATTTTTTACAGATTAAATCCACAAAAGCGGCGTCCCGTTGTTCGAAACGCGCCTTAAACGTCATATTTTCAACGCCCCAAAGTCACATCATGAAAACAAAATTTAAAAAACAGAAAAAAATCCTGGCACGGTTTCCAATATATGAAAAAAATCCGGTAAATTCCACAATGTTTAGGAAATTTTTGTAGAATTTTTTAGAAAGTCTCACATTTAAAAACAAATCCCGAATGGGTTTTTTTTTTTTTTTTTTTTTAGTCCTTTAGTCCAGTTATTGTTTCAGTGGACCCCCTCTGGATGTCCGGCGTTCCTGTTATGTCCAGCGACCGTCAAAATCAACACAGACATGGCTGGAAAAACACGGGGAGAAGCACATGGGTCGGCGTGACAGCTCTTCCACCACGCGCGCGCTTGTTTACAGGGAAAAATCCGCCGCATCCGAAAGCTCCGAGTTGATCCGGAAATGATAGGAATGCTGGTGGTAGTTGATGGAGCAGGACCGGGACGAGGGGGGGAGACGACAGGACTTTCCAGGAGCGTCGAGAGGCCAACTGACGGGAAATCAGCGCTCCACTCTTGTTTAAACTCCGCAGCAATCCCGGGGAAAAAGAAAAAAAAACGTGGGGAATTCTCAACTTTCCGAGCCGAGTCCCGTCTCCTCGGTAGAACGGCGCGTCGTCCCGAGAATCTCCCGAGCGCGGTCCGTGCGGTATTCCCTCGCGCGCGGAAAAAAAACGGAAAGAAAAGTGCCGAGGTGACGGTGAAGCGATCCCGTGCGGAGCCGGACGGAGGTCGTCGGGAAGCGCGCGGGGGGGGGGGAAAAGGAGGAGAAAGGAAAAAGAAAGAGGGATGCGGATGGGATGGTGCCGCGGCGGGAGAGAGGGGCAGAGCGCTCCCTCGTCCTGGTGCAGTGAAGCCGGAGATGCTGTGGCGGCGGCTGCCTCCTCCTCCCTCTCCCTCTCCTCCCTCTCCCTCGCTCCGTCTCTCTTTCTCCCTCGCTCCCTCGTTCTCTCTCTCTCTCCTGCTGTGACTGTACCTCGCACGGCCGGCGCTGCTCACACACACACACACGCGAACGATGTAGACACGCCCCCTTCCTCTCCTCTCCCTCTCGCTCTGTGCTCTTCCCTCCCTCCCTCCCCTCCCTCCCTCTCTCTCTCTCTCTCTCTCTCCCCTCTCGCTCTGTGCTCTTCCCTCCCTCCCTTCTTCTCTTCTCTCTTCTTTCCTTCTCCGTTTCTGTCCTCTTCCCTCTGCTTCTCTTCTTTCACTCTCTCTTCTTTCCTTCTCCGGTTCTCCGTCTCTCTCTTTTGCTCACACACACACACACACACACACACACACACGCGCGCGATGTAGACACGCCCCCTTCCTCTCCTCTTCCTCTTCTCGCTCTGTGCTCTTCTCTCTCTCTCTTTTTTCTCCCTCTGCCTTTCTTCTTTCCTTCTCTGTTTCTATCTCTCTCTCCTTCCTATCTTCTTCCGTCTCTTCTCCCCCTCTCCCTTTCTCTCTCCTTCTCTCCTGATGTGACTGTGCCTCTCCTCTTTCTCCTCTCTCTCTCCTCCTCTCGCTTTGTCCTCTTCTCTTTCACTCCCTCCTCTCCTTTTCTCTATCTCTCTCTTCTTCCTATCTGCTTCCGTCTCTTCTCCCCTTCTGTCTCTCTCTCTCTCTCTTTCTTCTGCACACTGAAATGTAGACACGCCCCCTTCTTCTCCTCTTCCTCTCTCTCCTTCTCTTCTCGCTCTGTCCTCTTCCCTCCCTCTCTTCTCTCCCTCTGCATCTCTGTTTCTATCTCTCTCTTCTTCCCAGCTTCTTCGCTCTCTTCTCCTCTCTCCCTTTCTCTCTCCTTCTCTCCTGTTGTGACTATATCTCTCCTCTCTCTCTCTCTCTCCTCCTCTCGCTTTGTCCTCTTCTCTTTCACTCTCTCTTCTTTCCTTCTCTCCCATCTCTCCTTTTCTCTATCTCTCTCTTCTTCCTGTCTTCTTCAGTCTCTGCTCCCCTTCTGTCCGTCTCTCTCTCTCTTTCTCTTTGTTTCTTCTGCACACATGAAATGCAGACACGCCCCCTTCCTCTCCTCTCCTCTCTCTCCTCCTCTCGCTCTGTCCTCTTCTGTCGCTCTCTCTTCTTTCCTTCTCTCCCATCTCTCCCTTTCTCTCTCTCTCTCTCTCTCCTGATGTGACTGTACCTCTCTTCTTTTTCCTATCCTCTTTTCCCTCTCTCGTTTTCTCTCTCTCTCTTCGGCTCACTTCTCTTTCACTCTCTCTTTTTCCTTCTCTCCCTCTCTCTACCTTCTTCTCCTCTCTCTTTCTCTCTCTCTCTCTCTCCTCCTCTCGCTCTGTCCTCTTCTCTTTCACTCTCTCTTCATTCCTTCTCTCCCACCTCTCCTTTTCTCTATCTCTCCGTCCTTCCTATCTTCTTTCTTCTCTCCTTCTGTCTCTCTCTCTCTTTCGTCTGCACACATGCGACGCAGACACGCCCCCTTTCCTCTCCTCTCCCTCTCTCTTCTCCTCTTCTCGCTCTGTGCTCTTCCCTCTCTTCTCTCCCTCCGCATCTCTTCTTTCCTTCTCTGTTTCTATCTCTCTCTCCTTCCTGTCTTCTTCCCTCTCTTCTCCTCCTCTCCTCTTTCTCTCTCTTTCTCCTGCTGTGACTGTACCTCGCACGGCCGGTGTTGCACAGACACATGCTGAGGACACGCCCCCTTCCTCTCCTCTCCTCTCCTCTCTCTCTCCATTCTTCCCTTTCTTCCTCATGTTTCTCTCTATTTTCCTCCTTCGCTTCTCCACCTCTCTCTCTCCTGCTGTGACAGTACTTCTTCTCTCTCTCTCTCTCTCCTCCTCTCGCTCTATCCTCTTCCCTCTCTCCTCTTTCTCTCCTTCTCTGTTTCTATCTCTCCTTCCTCTTTCTCCTTCTTCCCTCTCTCTCTCTCTCTCTCCTGCTATGACTGTACTTCTCCTCTCCTCTCTCTCTCTTCCTCTCGCTCTGTCCTCTCCTCTTTCTTCTCTACCTCTCTTCTCTTTCACTCTCTCTTCTTTGCTCCTCTCCCTCTCTCTCCTTTTCTCTATCCCTCTCTCCTTCTTACCTTCGTCTCTCTCTTCTCCTTTCTCTCTCTCTCCTCCTCCTCCTCTCACGCTATCCTGTTCCCTCTCTTCTCTCCTTCTGCCTCTATTTTTAACTCTTTCTTCTTTCTCTCCCCCCCCCGTCTCCCCTTCCATCTTCCCTTTATCTTCTTCCCTTAATCCCTCCATCTTTCCTCTTCTCTCTCTCTCTCTCTCTCTCGCACGGCCGGCACTGCACACAGACACGATGTCGACACGCCCCCTT